GCGCCCACATTGCATCCATGTCGATTTGTATTCAGCAGTCGAGGCAATGAATCTGTCTTTGAAGGGTACCCGACTCTGGCCCACACCACCGTAGATGCTTGGTGGGCCAGTCGAGGAGGTCAGATCTTTTGGTTCAATTCGTCGTCCAAGCTATTAGTTTTTAACTGAATTTGGGTTGGAGAACTAAAGCGCAAACCTAGGATGGCTAATGATATGGCCCGGCAACGAATACTTAGGCCATACCGGCCTGCCGTGCTTCGGTCAAGCCACTGTGCGGCGGTGCTCGGCCGACTCGAGCTTGGGTCTTGGACACTAGCTCTGTTTTTTTCATCGTCGTGCTTGTGGGTGTTGCAAATGCCACAACACACGGTGAGCCGTTCATGTTTTACCCATTAAACTATTGTAGTATGTAACGCATCCGAGGCTGTTGAAGAATCATAACATCAGACTGACAGCAATCGTCATGTCCCTTCTGCAGTCAGTTCCTTGAGGTTGATTGTGCACCTAGGATACTTATTCTGGCCCGGCTTGTACAAGAATGTAGCCCGGTAGCGAATGGTTCGCATCCGTGTCGAATAAGTATTACTTATGTGAGAATCGCCCGTTCGAATTGGGCCTGGGCTCTTACGTGTGTGCCCAAGTGTTTTTTGTACGGTTCGATGGGTCCATTTTCGCCTTTGCGATGGAACTTGAGATCACCGCTCTCTTCACGGATATAAGGGACTCTCGATTCAGTCGCGCGCATATGCATCCATCCTGACTTGACGGTTCTATGCGTGCAATAACTACGTACCGGTGTCTGATCCCAGCCGCGGTCCCAGAAAGAGAATAACGATGAATGAAGGAATAGCTATTAGAATAAGCCCAGTTGCGGGTGGTCGGGCACTCGCCCACCATGAAATCGCTGCGCGGGGAGCACTCGTTCGAATCGAGCCTGGATCTTACTCCGCACTGTAATTTTTTGTATTCACCATGGTGGCATGTTAGCGTTGGGATTCAGGATTCAGAATGTGCCAAGATTCCGTTAGTCTTCCTTTGGTCGCCTTGATTGGGCTCCTGATAATCAACCTCGCACTTTGCGCTTGAAATGAATGCGTGCCATGCTTTTCTTCACTATCAATATTAATGCCGCTCCGCATTACCTCGGATACTCTGGCTCAAATTGTGTTAGCATGTATGTAGCTCGGTAGCAGATGGTTTGCACCCACTTGCCTTGTCAGAGGAGTGGGTTGCAGATCTATGTGGGAAGTGCCTGTTCGAATCGCGGGCCTGGGCTGTGCAACGCCTTTGGAATCCCGCTTTTTTGTCCTCTTTTCTCCCTGTCTTCGAGGAAATAAATTGGTCTCCGTGGAGGTACCCCGACTCGAGAAAGTCTGTATCCCTCCCTTGCTTGGCGCGCAAAGAGCTGAGGGGGGAAGTTTCTGAAAGCTCACCGAAATCGCTAGCGTTTGATGGGCAAATCAACCCTTCGGCCTGTAATTGCACAGTTTGAGAATGGAGAATAGATATCAAGGAGAGGAAGGAGACCCAGTGGCGGATGGTCCGCATTCGCATTTTATCGCAGAAGATAATGATGAATACCATACCATATATGCGGGAATCTTGGGATTGCTCGTTCGAATCGAGCCTCATCCCGCTTGTTAAAATGTTTTTGCATTCTCGTTTACTTAAAAGGTTGCGGCCTTTTGAGTCGAGATTTTTCGAGCGGATCTCTCGGAGTCCTGACAAAATTTTCCAATAAAATGGGGAAGGTGGCTCCAGATCACGTAGTACCGCAGACGCCATTGACAGAACACCACAGTCTGAACAAGTCATAGTTGAGAGAAATCTAGCAACAAACAAAATGGAATCATAGGTACGCAAATAAGGGTCGAAATGACATGGAGATTCCCGCATGAGCCTCCAGATTTAGTGATCATATCCGTATCCGAAGGTGTTTCGTAGCGATAGGGTTTGTAATCTCCACTACCCATTTGGCGATCTCATTCGTCAAAATGAGCCCCGCCGCGGGAGTCAAAACACTAAACAATTAAATCAATGCTGAGGTAAAGTGATACGGAAGAACGCACAAACAACAGTCTCGAACTTCTGTCGGAGGTCCTCATGATCTTGCTGTGACCATCGAAGTAGACCCTGATTTTCCAGTGCGGTCATACGGGCAATGGCTGTATCATCGAGGCCGTTTCTGAAAGGATTAGGCGGGTCATTTTCAAGAAGGCGGAATGCCTCGATCGTGAATGGAGCATCGTGTGTCGCGCCGGAAACCAAGCGCGAGTTCATGAATTCCATGAATGCATTATCTTCGAATGTGAACGTCGAGCCGAAGGAGAAATGATGCATATGAGGGACAAGGCAGGATGAGTCCGGCCGCCAGGCGAGTCGTTGGAGCAAGCTGTCGGTTATAAGCATGTGGTCTGGACGAGAGTGGTAATTGGTGAAATGCCCGGGGATGTCTTGGATGAAGAGTTCACACAAAACCTTCATCTCCGACAAGCACCCGACAAGCTCATCCTGGGTTATAACCATGTCATAGAGGAAGAGCTTGGTGAGAGTGTCGCAGAAAGAAGAGCGCGAGGATAAGGCGAGGAAATCGTCTCGCGGCCAGAAGAGCGGAGAGCGTTCAGGACGGGGGGAATGGAAATGGAGCAACTGAAGGCAAGGAAGAGTGAGGACTCTGAGGATTTCACTCAGAGCCTGGCGAGAATGTTCTTCGCTTTGGACATCGAGGATGGCTAGTCGAAGGATGGGAATATTGGATTGGACCCGGACCGAGGCGAGAGCGGATATAGGGAGAGTGAAAGCTGAAATGCTTAAGTCGTAGAGATTGAACTCGCACTGACTCGAACAGCGAGACATGGTCTCTAGACGCTCGACCATGGCATCGTTTGACATATATGACCTAGAAGAATAATATCTGACCTCGCGCAGCTGAGTCCACGGTAATTTCGGGAGTGGGCTATGTGCGTCAGATAACGTAACGTGCGTCAAATTGGGGGCCATTTCGAAAATGTCGATTCCTGGGATACCATCGCCTCCGAGGCCGAGACGCTCTAGGCGAGGAAGATTCCCTCTGACATGCGACAAAAATGGGCAAGCCTCTCCGCTGATGTACAGATCCGCAATCCTCCATCTATCCGCGCAGCCTCCTATTAATTCGAGATGAGGTTGAAGGTTTGGATCGCATGCATTGAGGTGTATAGACAGTGGGCAATGGGTGGATAGATCCAGAGAGCGGGCAAGGTCAGCGAGTTTTGTGTAGTTCAGATCGGCTTCGATGGTCGCCCAGAGGCATGGGGTAGCCATGACGGTGTTGTACCAAGAGAAGCACACCTGCAGCAAAGCCAGCAGATGCGGTTGGGCCACCTGGTCGGGTCCGCCGGGAATTTCCTGGGTACCGTCACAGTATAATATCGGAGTGGGCGAAGCACATAGCGAGAATATCTCCGCCAGAATTTCTGGGGGAAGCCTCCTAACAGGAGCACAGACACTGCGGCATTCGTCGCAATATCGCTGCAAGGCATCACGTTCGGCCTGCAGGCGCTCAATTTGGGTATCATAACGCGCCACATCCGCCAGCGAGGGCGCGATTATGGACCGCAAATAAGACGACTGCGAATCGCTGGGCACGGAATTGGAGCGAAGGAGTTGGTGAACTTGCGCGGTCTGCGCGGGGGTTGGTAAAAGTGAGGAACAAAAGAGAATGTTGTCTCGAGAATCCATGGCTATGAAGGAGAAAAGCAAGCGGCGCTGGTGTTTGGTGCCACCGTTGATGGGAAACTTGATGCCTGTCGCAACCCACATCTTGCCGACATTTTTCCAACGGATTTTGGTTGGACTTTCCTCTGACGAGTTACATTATCTAGTACACTGGCATCAGAGACGGCGATTTCTTCACGCAAATTGTCAGCAAGTCGCCATCAAATCCGAGCGGATTTTAGACGGGGCACGGCAACGGTAACCAAGGTTTCTTGCCAAGTGCCAGGCCTAAATATTCGAGATGCACAAGGGAATACCGATAACCTGAATCACTGGAATCGACGTCACGGTGAAATTAAAGGTGCCTCCGCCACAGAACTGCCACGAAATGCGTCGAAATCGAATCCCAACACAAATTTCGTCGATCTGGTTACTTATCCTGGAAAAACTTGAAGCTGGATGACAATGCCCGGTAGCGGATGGCTCGCACCCGCTCCGCATGATTCTTAGGAGCTAAACATTTTACTCTTTCAAACCAGGCCTGGGCTGTATCTATAAAAGCGAATCAGTCAGTATTTTTATCCTGTTTGGCAAGTCCATTCTATTTGTGCGCTGTGTTGGGGGACCCGAGGCCACTCACTGTTCTCTCTAATGTATTTGATTCTGGATCCAATCGCCCATGTCAGTGCATGACAGCCACTTGCAAAACGTACTGGCCACTCACTCAATGGAATTAAATTTGGTTCGCTTCAACCTGAGGTGATGATGCTTGCCCAGGCCCGGGATAGGGAACAAGGACGCGGAAAGAGAATAAGTAGGCCCAGCGGGGGCAATATTAGTTTGTGATTTGCGGCCTCACGCTAGGTTAAAACACGCACTACCTACCTCCTCTCGGATCGGACAAAATTTGGTTCAGTTCATCTGACGATTTTGAGAAGTGAGAACCAAAATCGCACAAGACAAACAAAGACCTAGTTGCGGATGGTCCGTATCTGCTTATCATCACCAATTATAATCCATCTGCGGTGGTCGCTCGTTCGAATCGAGCCTGGGTCTTGACATCTTGCCTTGAGCTTTTTGTTCATCGTCTTAGCTTGTCGGCGTTACAACACACGGTGAGCCGTTCGTGTTTTACCCCAAATAAACTATTACATCGGACGCACCCGAGGCTACTTGGAGCATCATAACATCCGATTCACAGGCTACAGCGATGACAGCCACCGTCATGTCCTTTTAAGTCGCAGTCAATTCAATCGTTTATGCACTTAACTTTGGATATCCTGGCTCAATTTGCATAAGGATGTAGCCCGGTGGCGAATGGTTCGCACCCGTCTTCGAATAAGCATCGTGCGAGAATCGCTCGTTCGAATCGAGCCTGGGCTATCGCATGCTCGTGGTGATCTTTTTTGCATCCTTCGATGAGTCCATTTTCGAGCGCTGTGTGATGGAATTTATGTAGCTCATTGCTCTCTTCCCAGATGTACGAGATTCTGGAGCCAGTCGCGCGCGTATGCATCCGTCGGTTTGCGCACGACGGTTCTATGCGAGGAATGCGTCCGTACCGGTGTCAGCGTGCCGCCACCACAGTCAGAAATGGAACAAGATGAAGGAACAGAATAGAATAAGTAGGCCCAGTTGCGGATGGACCGCACCCGCCCACCATTATGTAGTCGTTTTCTTGAATGCGGGGAGCACTCGTTCGAATCGAGCCTGGGTCGTACTGCGCTTGCATTGTGGTTCTTTTTGTACTTACCACGGTGGCATAATAGGGTTGCGATTCAGAACGCGCCTAGCCGTTGCCTTTCTTTGTCCGTCTTGATTAAGCTGTACGGATCCGGTGCTGCGCGAAGAGTCCTAAGTACCTTGAACTTGAAATGAATGCTCCATGCCTTGTTTTCCTTCCGCATTACCTTGGAAATGCTGGCTCAAAGTGGATTAGAATGTAGCCCAGTGGCGGATGGTCCGCGCCCACTTGACCTGTCGGAACTTTCGGGGGCATCTATGTGGGAAGTGCCTGTTCGATTCGGGTCTGGGCTGTCTGTGAATTTGTGTCATCTAAATTTTTTCCAAGCATGGACGCTCTGTCCTCTTTTTTTATTGACTTCAAAGCAATAAATTTATCTAAAAGTACACCAAGTCCAAAACTTCTATATTAATTCCATCCTTACTTAACGCGCGAAGAGCTGAGGGTGGGGGGAACATTTTTGTTTTATGGAAGTACTGAAATCGTTTGGCGGGAAAATCCACCCGTGGGCCTGCGATTGCAGAGTTGTAGAACGGAATGGAGATTGAGAGGATGAAGGAGACCCAGTGGCCGATGGTCCGCGCCCGCTTATCATCATGAAGATCCAGATGTCGGAAAAAAGCTAAATGCATTATCAGGGTTGAATGGGGCATATCAGGTCATGTCAGGCCATCAGGTTTCTAGTGGCCTGATAATATTCAGAAATGGCGGATCAGCCTGATCAGCCTGACCGGTCTGATCAGCGCTGATAAGGCCATTTCAGTGGATTTTGCAAAACATCTGACCATCCTCCTCCGAGGTGGGTTCCTTCTTGTATCTTGTATTATCTATTACAGTGTCCATGCAGACTATTCGTGGATTGTATTGCAGTGTTCAAGACTAACAAGGAATGCATTGGCATAGCATGATTACATTGAAGGGTTACGACATGAGTTATGTACCTTGCTCCGCTCACCGGTTCCTACTGCGCCTTTTTGCTCAATTGTCCTCATTTCACCGTTTACTTTCTTTTTTTCAATGCTTTTGGACACTGGTGACAAATATAAATCATTCAGAATGTCAATGCACTGAGTTTGTTACACTTTGGTTGGGGGTAACCTGATAAGCCCTGACCAGGGCTGATATGCTGCACCCATTGAAGCTGATCAGGTCTGATAAGGCCATCAGGTTTGGTCAGCCCCTGATCAGGTAAATCGGGTTTTTCCGACAGAGGAATACTATATGCGGGATCTCGTTCGAATCGAGCCTGAGTCATCCTGAGTCGCAAAGAAACACTTTTTTGAATCTTGTCCACTACAGGTTGCGGTCCTTGGGTCGAGAATTTTCGAGAGAACTTTGAAATAGAAATTCCTGCCAGTAAGTATTTTTCTTCGGACTGAACGGAGGTGTTTGTTGGGGCCCACACGACGGACATATTGTGTAGATATATAGATCCGTGTGCTGGAAAGGGCATAAGACAGAGTTTTTAAGAGGAATTAAACCTCAATGGGATTCGCACTCAACGCAGCGGAGAAGGATGCATCCAGAGGAGCGGCCCGACCGTACCCGCGCATCACCATGCACACGTGACCATTTCCGCCGAGTCTGCCTCGTGGTGTCGCTGTGTGTCCAAGTCCTCGATTCTCGTGTCGAGCAATGCCCAAACGCATGCCTACTCCCGAACCAGGAGACGATGAGCCAAAATACTTCACCGTAGTCCATCCGTACCCACTCAACGCCCACTGGGAGCTTGAGGACGATTATACCACCTGCGGGCGCTGGATTGCAAGCTGCATCGGCTCAGCGCCGTTTTTCGCGATTTTTTACAAGCCTAGCGTGGGTTTACTTCGATTTTGACGCGGTGATATCAATGTGATTCAGGCGCGCGGGCAAATCCTCCTCGAGATCAGTCGTGACTACCCCGAGCCGGAGAGGCTGCTGGGCGAGCACCGCTGGTCCGACTTTTTGAAGAAACCAAGTGCGGAGGAGGCGGGGCGCGTGAGCCAGATCTTCTATTGTACATATAGTACCGGGCGCCAGGCGCAGAAGGACGGTGAGTGCGCGCTGCGCGAGTGGCACCTAATCGTGATCGCACTCGATATTTACTGCGACTTTCAGGCTGGAAGAGAATCAATGTCGACGAATCATGGTTTGAGAACCGGAACCCTGTTAACCCGTCAGTCTTGTTTTTGGTCTTCTTTCCCTGTCTGGATGTAAATTTGTACACAGCGACAGCGCAATAATGCACCCATACCCGCCAACCGCGTGGTGCCCGCTCCCTCCCGAGGACAAGACCAGCAAGCCCATGTGCCGCCCGCTCCCCGTGCGCGTCAAGGCCCCGCCCGCGCCCAAGGTCGCCCCGCCGCCGCCAGTCGGTAAGTATGTATTCATTCTGTCGACCGTCTGTTAACGAGCTCACACAGTCCCCGGCTCCGCAAACTGGGTCTCCCAGAAAGCCGCCCCGCCCACCAACACCCCCGCCGCCAATAGCGCCAAGAACGCGGGTGGCACAAAGACTGGGAATCGCGGACGCGGAAACGCAAAGAACAAGGCAGGCAAGAAGGCGATCCCGGCGAACTCTGCTGCGCCGTGTAAGTATCTTTATTCCCCTCGACTTGGAGGAGAGAACGAATCGGATTTGCTTCCTGCATACTCTGGCGATGCTTTTGCGAGCCTTCGCACTGTGGCTCGAGGACAGATGGGGAGCTAGCTGCCCTCCTGGAGCAGCTGGTGCTTACTTTCATTGGGCAGGTCCTGGCGCCATACATCGCGCGTTCCTGCCATTCTTTTCTTCTTCGTGCTCTTTAGCTGCCAGCGGGGATGGACCGGCGGTGAGCTGCGGGGCTGCGTGACCAGGGAGTGGTGATTGGGCTCGCGACGCCCTTTCTGCTCATTTGCTTTCGCCATGGGGTGCAGGAGTCTTGTGGCTGGCGAGGATTAGTGACCAGCCTTTGGGCCTGCGAGGACGCATGTGCCAGTAGGGGGGTGCTGTCTGACGGGGAGGCGGTGCTTGAGCTCGCGAGGCTGGGGGCATGCATATGTCGCTCCTCCCCTATTCGGAGCTCGTTCCCTTTCTTCGAGGATGGGTGCGATCGGGACGCTGCTACGCACATGGAGGGGATTGGTACTGGGTCGTTCGTCGTGGCGTGCTTGCCCTTGCGCTCGGTCCCTTTTCAAGGACATATGTGCGAGTGAGAGCTTTGTGGGGAATTGGCGTGTGGTCTAGCGGGGGGCTGATGCGAGCCTGCTCGTGTGGTTCTCCATTATTTCTCTGCTGGAGAGGTGGAATTATTGCGCGCCCTCACCTTGCTTGCACGAGCAGGTTTCTTTACGTCGGACGCGGACGAGTCGGAAACTACTCGGCGACTTGACGAATGGTGCCACTCGGCTGCGTGACATGGCCCATCGGCGGGGCGTGCCCTTCTACCCCCGCGCATTTTCCCGCGTCGAGGGGGAAGCTGCTTGGCTGCGCGCCGTACTATCCGTGCTCGGGCAGCGAGACGCCACACCAGGGAAGAGCAGTTCGTCTCTTGGTGTGTCTGCTGGACGATCGGCGAGTTGGTGGGAGACGAAAGTAGCGGATCTACTGCTCATCAATCTGCACAATATGCGTGTCCCGCAATCGCTCACGTCGGGATATTTTCGAACCTCTTGTCATCATGTCACGAAGGAGGGAGTTTATCCACGTCCGCGACGCTGCAACGGTCATCGATGCGTTTCTCGTCCCCGATGGAGTGGTGGTACCACGACGATCGCCCTCTTCGTCTCCTGAATCTTCCTCAGGCAGTTCCGCCGCGACGGTGCTGCGCGTCGGGGAGGCGAGCTAGTCCTCGACTTCACGGCACCTCCTCTCCCCTCTCCCCTCTTCTCCTCTCCTCACATCGCACCATTAATCACTCTTAATTTTTAGGGCACACCGCGACCGCCCCCACCGGCAGCAACACCGTCCCCGTCGTCGCCCGAAACGCCGCCGAAAACATGATACAGAACATGCTCGCCGGCCCGCCTGACCTCGCCGCGGGCTTCGCCGACATGTCCCTCACCTCGGGCATCGGCGTGGACGACATCTCCCCCGACGCGGACGCGTACGTCGCGGAGTGGGAAGCGACGCCCGCGGAGGAGGACGTGGACGCGTTTTGGCCGTCGGCGTACAGGCCAGGCGATCGCGGCGGTGGGGGCCTGGATGACTACGCCTACGCCCATGCGAAGGACGATTGGGGGGAGGGCGCAGCAGAGGCAGAGAATCCGTGGGGAGACGCGCCCGACGACAACGTCAATGCCAATGCGACGGTTAATACGAATGCGAAGCCGGCGCCGAATGATATCGTGTGTCCCGTGCACGGGATTCTTTGCAGGAAGGGGATATGTAGCGAGCGCGCGCGGTTGGTGCGGGAGAGGGAGCGTGCGGAGAGGGCGAAGAACGTGGCGGAGTATGGGAGAAGGAAAAGTGGGCTTCCTTTAACTTTTTGTGGACAGACACTGACGCGCATGCGTTCGCAGATCATGCGCAGAAGAAAGCTGATATGGACGGCGGGAAGACGGCTGGCGACAACAGCAACGGCGGCGGCGGGTGGCAGAAAAAGAAGGGGGACGACGACCCAGGCTCGAGCGAGGAACGTAGCCGCGCGCCAAGCCCCGCCACGCCCAAGACCGATGGCTG